TAACAATTAGCCTCCAGGCAGAAGCAACTGCCTCACCCGGTTGGAAAAAAAACTCTTACCAAATGTGAGGAAGATTGCCTGGAGGGCAATTCAAGTCCCAATCCTACCTTGTTTTCCCGAAAATAAAACATCCTCTGAAAATAAGATCTACTTACAGGTTTCCTTCTGAGTGAAATATAAGGCATCCCCCCGAAAATAAGGCCCCCCCTAGGCTCTGTCTCAGAATGAAAATTAATTTACTGTAAACTGGTCACTAGGGCCCCCCCCCCCCCCCCCCCCACTGGCGTCTAGCAACCAGTGACTTTACCTGGAGTCCTGACTTCCCTGCTGTGTGGAGGCAGAGCAGAGATCGGAGTGAGTGGTGAGTGCAGGGCAGGAGAGAGGAGGAGACTTTTGCAGATGCCTGTAGAAGAACCGGAGGATTAGAGTGGACAGGACACGGTGAAGGTGGTGAGTGCTGGTCTGTCTCTGGTGACACTACCTGATGCTCTCGGCCGCCCTCATGATGACTGAAAGTTCTGTCAGTGGCAGACCCTGCTCCAGCCCAGATCCAGGCCCCAGCAAGCCCAGTGACAGTCCCCAGGCAGGCCCCAGGGGGTAAATGTCTGATAAAGGGGTAGGGGGAATGTCTGGTGAAGGTGTTCAGTGGCACAGGGTTGGGTGGAAGGTGATCACTTAAAATAACACAGGAGGATCAGAGGGGGCAATCAAAATGACACAGGAGGATCAAAAGGGGTTACTAAAATGGTAATCTCCCCTCTGATTCTCCTGTGCCATTTTGATTCCCCCTCTGATCCCCCCCTGTGTTATTTTAAGTGATCCTCCTCCCCTCACCTTGATACCCCAATTCCTTTTTTTTTAACCCAATTCCTTTTTTTACCCCTAGAAATGAGCACAAAAAGAAAAAGCTACTCCGTGGAGTACAAGAAAGGAATCATGGAAGACTCTTGGGGCCAAAATCTTACTGCTTTCTGCAAAGAGATGTTGAGTATCCGATTGGTCTGAAAATAGTGAGCAGAGTATGGTAACCTCATTGAACAAGCGGACAAGGGAAATGCTAAAAAGCACAAGTGTGGATCAACTCCTTCACCAGTTACAAAATTACAGCTTTCTTCAGTCTGATTGGCAACTGTACAGATATTAATACAATAAACATTTATAATGATAATGGAACAATATTCCATTACAATAAAAAATGAAAAATCCCTGATATGTCTAGAAGTGGACAGGATTTACATAAGAAAAAGAAGTACCACATCTGTAATAATAACAACAACAACAAAAATAATCTCAAAAACAAAAAAAATACCATTTTGGCGGGGAAGCTCAGTTGGTTAGAGCATTGTTAGGAAATGCTAAGGTTGTGGTTTCGATCCCCAGTCAAGGAACACAGAAGAAGCAACCAATGAAAGTGTAAATAAGTGGAACAACAAATAGATGTTTCTTTCTCTCTAAATAAAAATACATAAATAAATGCATAAATTTGTATATATTCGATATATAAACCTAAGTGACCAGCCAACTTTCTGACTGTCCAGCTGGTAGCTATGATACGAATTGACCACCAGGGGGTAGACACTCAGTGCAGAGACTGCTGAGCTGCGGTTACTTGGCAGCTGTGGATCTCAGGTGACACACCCGGAACCAGAGAGGAAGGAGCACAATTCTGGGGTGCATCACCAGAGAACCAGCCTCTTGCAATCTGGGACCATTCTGGGCATGTTGGAGAGCTGGTTTCAGCACGATCCCCACAAACCAGGCCAAGGGACCCCACCAGTGCATGAATCTGTGCACTGGCCCTCTAGTATATACTCTATTATAATAAAAAGGTAATATTCTTATTAGACTGGATGTCATTCTGGAGATCATTCTGGACATCCTTCTGGATGAAGCCAGGGCTGGAGAGAAGCCTGGGTCCCAGGTGCCAAAGGGAAGCCGGTGCCAGCAGCAGTGGGAAGGAAGGCCTACTCTTGCACAAATTTTGTACATCAGGCCTCTAGTAAATAAATAAATAAATAAATAAATAAATAAATAAATAAATAATAAGAATATTAAGAGATTTATTTTAAAAAAATACCAAATAAAAAAATACCAAAAACGAAGATGAACATATAGTAGGTCTTAAATAATTTAAGAGACTTAACATGTACCTGGATATACTGATTCAAGAGATTGTCAGTTAAAATTAATTATGAAGCTAATTAAAATAATCTCACTAAGATTTTTAAAAACTTAGAATACTGATTAAAAATTCATCTCAAATAATTTCAAAGTAAACATTGTCAGGAGATGATGGAAAAGAAAGAACAAGGAAGTGAATCATTGGAACTGTAACATACTTAGATACATTTTATAGAGAAGTTACAATAGTGCAGTGCTGATGCAGAAAGAAGTAGACCATTCAGTGGAGTAGGACAGAAAACCCCAAAACAAAACACACAACCTGAGAATTTAATGCACCGTAAAGTGACAATTTAAACTAGGTGAGAAAAAGTGGTTTGGGACATGTGAATAGCTATTCGAAAGTTCTTAAATGTAAACACCATGCTCCAAAACAAGTCTTGGATTGATTAAGGATATATTGGGGCATAATAAAACATAAATGTAAGAGGTGGGCCAAAAAGGGAGGAAGAAGATGAATGCAGAAAGGTGCTTCCATCTGGAGAACGAGCACTCATTTCCCATAAATTTATACTTGCAGACACTTCTCAGTAACCATGAAGACATCCTACTGTTGTGTCTGCTAAATTCCCTGGAGGTTGGCTGGGGCCTAGATGGATATGGAATAGACATGAACTGAGGCACAAGGAGATTTAGAATTAAAAAAAATATATATTTCTATAAACTGGTAATTTTTAAATAGTAAGTGTACAATATATTACAAAATATTTAATATCTTACAATTTTGCTAAGTCATTTATAAGATATATTTGCCAGAAAAATTATTTTAAAAGATATATCAGCAAAATGATCTCAGATCTTTGTACTGCAATTCTTTTGTGGATAGTAAGAAAATCCTTAACACTATTTGTTTTATTTTCTCCATACAGTTTAGGAGGGAGGACAAGGGAGCCATAAAGGTGTGCTCATGTGAGCATAATCTATTTTGCTTTGGAAATAAAAATATTGAGAACCTCTGCTTTAAAGGGTATCTGCCGGGAATAAAAGTAGAAGACATGTGTTTTGAATTCTTTGAGTTTTGCCAGATTGAAAAATAGTGTTTCTGAAAATCACTCGTTTATGAGCACTTCAAAATAAAGTGTTTGCAGTTGATTTTGGGCAGGATTCTGTATCTCGACCTCCTCCCCCCTCTGTTTTTTCAATATTATTCTGTACTAGGGGCCCAGCGCACAAATCGCGAACTTTGTTAGAAACTGTGGGCCTCGAGGCTGCAGTGGGCACAGGGGCGGGTCTAAGCCCATCCTCCCAACCCCCACCTGACCCTCCTGCCACAGCCCCCAGTCCTCTGTCAGAAGCCCCCCGCCCTCCACTGCCACTCCCTGGTGCTGACAGCACTGGCCCCACTCGCATCCGCTGATGGCACCAAGCGATTGGGGCCAGTGCCAGGTGCCAGCAGTGGGTATGAGTGAGGCCGATGCCAGCAGCAGGTAAGAGCTCTGGGTGAGACCAAGGCATGTGAGAGCAAAGACTTTTCAGGAATCAGCAGAGGCTCACCCTGATGACAGCGACCAGAGCCCTGCCTTAGTCTGGCGCCTGCACTAACCTGCTCCACTATCCCGCTGCAGGCTGACACATGCTATGTTCCACATTATGCTACGTGCTGCTGTGCCACCTGGTGGTCAGCACACATCACAGTGACCTGTTGTTTGGTTGTTCCATAGTTTGTTCTGTTTACATATTACACTTTTATTATATAGGATTAGTTTCAGGTGTACAACATAGTGGTTATCCAACTTATACTTTACAGAGTGCTTCCCCTGATATTTCAAGTGCTCTCCCTGGACTGTGCATAGCTATTACAATATGATTTTGCCCCCATCGGTCTCTCCCTGGCACTCCCACCCCCAGCACATGTTCTCACCCCCTAGTGCCTGTGTCCAGTGGTAAAGGTTATATGCATGTCTTTGGTTGCAGTAACTGCCTTTTAGTGGAGCTTTCTGCGTCACAAGTCCTTGAGCATCCTGAAGTTCCCACCACCCTCGCTCTCTTCTTAGGCAAAGACAGCTTTTTCACTGGGGTAACTAACTGTTGCAAGCCTCTGGGAACACTTGGCCAACTCCCAGGGATGTTTGAGTAGAACTCAGACCTGCCCACAGGCAATAACTGATATATATATATATATATATATATATATATATATATATTAATATTTATTTTTGTTAATTTTAAAATTTGTTAATTTTTAAAATTTTTATTTTGTTATAACAGCATCTCCCTGACGGACACCTGACCTGAGGATATTTTCCCCATTTCTTAAGATTTTTAAATATTAATTATTACTTTGTGGAAAGAAGGTAATGGAGGAAGCAGTAGGGGAGAGAGGGGGGGAGAGAGAAAGAGAGAGAGAGAGAGAGAGAGAGAGAGAGAGAGAGAGAGAGAGAGAGAGAAGGAAAGACAGAAACATGGGTGCGAGAGAAACTTGAGTTGACTGCCCCTAGCATGCCCTGAACTTGGAACAACGGCTCTAATCTGCAACTTTGGTTCATGCCCTTGACCAGTCATGGAACCCACCACCCTCTGGTGCTGGGTGGAAGCTCTAACCAGGGGACACTCCCACCCGAAAGTCTCTGAGATTTGAGATATTTGGGCTTTGCACATGTGTTCTGGCTACCTTTGACCTTAAGGTTCTATTCGCAGGGGTCGTGATGTCAGAGGCTATTGCTTGGTTACTATGATTCCGAGAGGAGATGTTAAACTGCCAAACTGCCCTGCTTGAATGCTGTGGCATAAGGTGGTTGACTAGAGAGCTCGTATTCGGCTCAGGAGGTGAGAAAAGAAGAGGGAAGCTGAGGCTTCTCTGAAGCCCTAGACTCTCTGCCATGGAAAAGAATTTTTCTTTTCTGAGAAGTCCCAGCATGGAGACCATGGACTCCCCCACCAGTCCTGGGAGCAGTGGCGTGGGAACCAGAATCCCCCACTATGAGGACCAGCACATGGGAGAGATCCACAAAGCTGCCAGTGTGGGCAGCCTGCGGAGAGTGAAGCAAATCCTATTGTTCAGGAAAAGTATTCGGAATGATAGGGACATGATGAGCAGGTAATGGGGACTGGGAGGCTGGTGGCCTGGGGTCCACTGGGAGGAGGTGGGTGGACCTGGGAGAGGTGCACCCTTGCAGGTCTCAGTGGGTGGAGTGCAGCCTCCTGTCAGTCAGGGAGCTGGGTTGACTTCTTTCCCAGGGCCTAGCAGCACCTCCCTGATGGACACCTGACCTGGGGTCTAGTGCACAGACCAAATTTAGGAGCAGCAAAAATAAAAACATATAAACTCACTCATAATTCCTCTTACAGAGCACTTTACTGACAACATTTAAGTGATTTAACTACATATCAATAATGGAAATGAAATTAAGTATATTCAACATTTTATATTTATTTGACTAGAGGCCTGATGCATGATTTTGTGCACTAGTGGGGTTGGACTGTAAATGGCTTTAAAACACCCTCGAAGGGGTTCTAGATTATGAGAGGGCACAGGCCAGGCCAAAGGACCCCACCAATGCACAATTGCAGACAGGGAAGGACATGAGAGGTTGGCCAGTGGGGTGGGGCCATGAGAGGGCTGTAGGGCATGTATGGCCTCTCTCCCTCAGTCCTGAAAGGTCTGACCCTAGCTAAGCTACCAGTTGGAAAATCTGCCCCCTCGCCGTCAGTGCACATAGAGACTGATGGACCACTCAACTGTCTGCCCCCTGGTGGTCAGTGCACATCATAGCGAGTGGTTGAGTGACCTTAGCATATCATTAGTATATACTTTGATTGGTTGAACAACTGACTGATGACTGACAGCATATTAGCCTTTTATTTTATAGGATTTTGTACTGTACACATTTTTATATCATATTACATACTATAGAAAAGTACACAATGAGAGAGAAGTACCAGGAGAATACACAAATGTATATATAATTTGAAAAAGACTCGAAGTAAAAAATTTCTGGAAGTTGATTGAGCAATATAAAAATTCAAGCCTGGCTGGCATGGCTAAGTAGTTGAGTGTTGACCTAAAAACCAGGAGATCATGTTTCCATTACTGGTCTGAGCATATGTCTGGGTTGTGGACTCTATTTTTTGTAGGAGTGTGGAAGAGGCAGCTAATCAATAATCCTCTCTCAACATTGAATAAAATATATTTTACTCATGAATAAAAGTATATTTAAAAATTTTTTCAAACACTCGGTCTATCAGAAAATAGTCTCAGCAAAATAAAAGAAAATGTTCTTGCAAAATATTTGCAGTATATGTGTATCAGAGAACAGATGTCATCCTTTTACAGAGTAGTCTTTGAAATCAAGAACAAAAAACTATAACTTGAACGTGAACAAAGTTCTTTTTGCATAAATATAATAAACCAATGGACAAATGAAAAAATATTTAATGTCCCTGGAAAAAAGGGAATAAGTTAAAAGAGGAAAATAATATTTTCTATCCATAAAGTTTTGAAGATGACCAGCGATTGTCCTTATACTAATGCTTAAAATTAATTTGCTTTTGACATTTGCATAGGGATTTTGGCAGGAGGGTGAGTGTTAGAAATCAGCAATCTCAGATTGTGAGAGACCTAATAAAAAAGTGATATATTAATACTAGAGACTCAATGCATGAAATTTGTGCAAGAATAGGCCTTCCTTTCCCCCAACTGCTGGCACCAGTTTACCTCTGGCACCAGGGACCCGGGCTGGCTTCTCTATGACCTCAGCTTTGTCTGGAATGATGTCTGGACTAATTAGCATATTATCCTTTTATTATTATAGATTCTCTGTGGGATTGGGCCTAAACGGGCAGTTGAACATCTCTTGAGGGATCCTAGTTGTGAGAGAGTTCAGACTGCGTTTAGGGACACACCACATGCACAAATTTTGTGCACTGGGCTTCTAGTACAGATATATTCTTTATACACATCAATTCTATTTATACTAAAAGCTTATATAGTTTGTTTCACTCAGTAATTCTTAAAAAGGTAATGTCTTAATAAGAAAAACTAATTATGGTTATACATACACACAAGCAGATTATGATCTTACATTAGTGAAAAATAGGTTCAAAATGTGTTAAAATTTATTTCTGAGCAACACAGACAAAAAAAAAACCAACCTAAAAGAGTTCACAACCACTAAAATAGTAATGCATGAAATGTTGAAGGGTATTCTTAAGAACATTAAAGGAGGAGAAGAAAAAGAGGAGTAGTTAAAATACATAAACAAAAATATGACAATAAATATATATTTACTAGAGGCCCGATGCATGCAATTTGAGCAAGAGTAGGCCTTCGCAGCTTCAACAGCTGCCTGGATCATTTCCTCTCAGCCATGGTGGCTTCCTTGATCCTGTGGCTATAGCCCCGGCTTCACCTGGAAGGTCGTCTGGAAAGACGTTTGGTCTAATTAGCATATTATGTTTTTATTATTATACTAGCGGTCTGTTGCACAGCGATTTGTGCCATAGGCTTTCCTTCCCCTGTCTGTCGACACCAGCTTTCCTCTGGCACCGGAACCAAACTTTGCTCCGGACGCCACCTCCTGTCTTTGCTCTGACGGCTGGAGATTCACTCTAGCCAGAGCCTTGAGTCTTCTCTGCACTGACTGGACCACCACTCTGGTAGCTCCCTCCGCAATCCCCCTCCCAGTCATAGCAGGCATCCAACCCCGCCCAGCCTCTTCGCACCTGTGTATGCAAATTAAGCAGGCATCTTTGCTGGGTTAATTTGCATACTTACTCCTGATTGGCTGGTGAGTGTCGTGGAGGTACAGTCAAGTTGAATATTTCTCTTTTATTAGTGTAGATGTCATCAATTGAATCTAAAAATCAAAATAAATGAATAAGAAGTCTAATAAACAGAAAATACCAATGAATAAAATAGAACCAGAGACATGAAACATGGCTGTATCTCAGAGGCAAGGGGGAACAGAGGAGGCAGATGAGATTAACCTAAGATTTTACCAATGGACACAGACAGTAGGGTGTTGAATGCCTGAGGCGGGGCAGGAACGAGGTGGAGGGAGACAATGAAGGAAAAAAGGAGGACATCTGTAATACTCTCAACCATAAACATTTTTTAAAAAGAGAGAAAATGTAAAAAATTATTACTAATGCTGAAGTGTTTTTTTAATCTATAAAGAATTTTTATTTTTATTTTTTTAAAGCAAACAGCCTGATTGCTTTTATTTTATTTTTTTTTTACTTTATTTTATTTATTTATTTTTAATATATTTTTTATTGATTTTGTACAGAGAGGAAGGGAGAGAGTTAGAGAGTTAAAAACAGCAATGAGAGAGAGTCATCAATCAGCTGCCTCTTACACACCCCCTACTGGGGATATGCCTGCAACCCAGGTACATGCCCTTGACCGGAATTGAACCCCAGACCTTTCAGTTCCCAAGCCGACACTCTATCCATTGAGCCAAACTGGTTTCGGCTATAAAGAATTATTTTAAAATATTGAACTCTTCCACTATGTGTACCCATTCTTTCAATCCATTTTTTACATGAAATATAACCTGAATACCTATTCTATAGTAGAAATATTCTACTCAGGACCCTTTCTCTCCAACTCTCAGGCCCTTTTCATCCTTACAATCTTCATGTTGTCTAATATGAGCAAAATGAGAAATTTATAATTGAAGTGTTAAGAAATCATCAGGTTGAAGCTTTTTCTCCCTGCTTTCAAACAAAAGTATTTCTGAAGGTAGGAAATTGCAAAATATAATCTTTGACTGCCCTTTAACAATGCATAATAGTAATAAATAGTAATATTGATCATTGGGAACTTCTACTTTCCCTACAATCTTTAAATCTAAATATTGAACAATATGAGCCATCCTAGATATCTGAATCCTGATCTTCCTTTGAGTTGTTTTCTTAAAAACCAAAGTAAGAATTATCTTTAAAGATTTTCTTGATTTCCTTTTTTGTCTCTTTATCCCCATAAAGCTATTAAGAATTAAAATATATTTAAATGCCAACCATTTAACAAAACTGCAAGAGGAAAGTTGTAGTTAGCATTATTTCACTGAATGTAAGGTACCATGGATGTGAGGATGTCAGTATTTTTTATATTAATTAATTTTTAAATGCTTCCAATAATGGTTGTAAGATATTCTGAATTAAAAATTGGATTCCAATGGCAGAGATGTTAAAGTGTGAGAAAATAAGCACTTTAGAATCATTGAAATAATGTTTTTTTCTGATGCTTATAATTGTTCTGCAAAGTAGGTATAATGACATCATTTTACTTAATTGCAATGTTGTTTTTGTAAATTGGTAGTAATAATAATAATAATGATACTGATATTATCTAACAATTATTGAGTTGTGTGGGTTTTTTTTCTGGGCTAAGAACTGTAGTAAACACTTTGCATAGATTCTCATTAAAGCCAACAATGGTGTCCTGTGATATATCTATTATTTTTATCTCCATTTTGCTGATGAGAAAATTGAGGCACAGAAAGGCCAAGTGACAGTTAATAAGTGACAGTTAAAATAGGATCAGAACCAAGTTAAGCTGAATCTCTAGTTCATCCTCTCTATTCAAATAGGCTTCTCTTTCACTAATGTGGTTAGTAATAAGAACTAATAAATATTGTACTGTCTGCAGAAGAAAAATAAATATATATTTTGAAGGCATAGGGAGAAATGTTTATAATAACATGGACAATTGTATGCTTTCCTCTGGTGCCCTCTAAGTTCCTAAGGAGTCCTCTCACTTTCATAGGACTGCTCTGCACGTGGCCAGTGGCAGTGGCCATCCAGAAGTGGTGAGACTGCTAGCACGCAGACATTGCCTATTGAACCTCTGTGATATAGACAACAAAACTGCTCTGATTCACGTATGTATTAGCTAACTGTGTCAACATGAGATGGGTTTAATTTAATTACTTAGAATAACAATGAGTTTATCTTATTTAACTAAAAGCCATTGTGAAACTTGTAGAATGTTTACTTTGCATTCCAAAAACTTATCATCAATTTTTTGGCATAATTCTGACAGGCCATACAATGTGAGCAAGAAGAATGTGCCACCATTCTACTAGACCATGGTGCCGACCCAAATGTGACGGACATCCACGGCAACACTGCTCTCCACTATGCTATCCTTGGTACCAACACAGCTATAGTGGAAAAGCTACTTTCCTGTATGGCAAATATGGAAGCGAGAAACAAGGTATAGATCAAGTAACTTAATTTACACAATATTTGAAATACATGTTTTTACTTCAGTATCAAGTCTTTTGTTTTTAATGTTTGTTTTATTGATTTTAAAGAGAAAGGAAGGGAAAGATAAAAATATCAATGATGACAGAGAGTCATTCATTGGCTGCCTCCTGCACACCCCCGTTTGGGGATCCAGCCCACAAGCCCTACATGTGCCTTCTGGTTCCAGGGTCAACACTCTACCACTGAGCTACACCAGCTGGGAACAAGTATTTTCTTTCTCATATACATACACTGAAGGCCCTGTCACCATGGAAACAACTCCAAAGCCCAGTCAGGGAAGGCTGGAGAAATGTAGTGTCCAAGGAAGGGACAAAGCTCTGTCTCCAGCCCAGAAGGAAGATCTTCCTGTTAGGGCTTGGGCATGGGTGATAGGTTCAGAGTCCACGAAGGACTGAAGGCCTGGAGTCGGGGGGTGGGGGCGATTGAGGTGATGTTGGGGACTCGTTGCTATGCTGACAGGGGCTTAGGAAATGGGTGCTGCTGACTGTGGGTGGGAAGAGGAGGCCTAATCCCAGCAAGAGGAGCTGGGTGAATGCAAGTAGGAAGAGGAAGTCTCAGTCCACAGACAGCATAATCACGACAGTATACCATGATAGATGCTATGAAAGGAACCCGCATTGTAAATGTTTGAAGTGAGTTTTGGGGAATGGTGTTACCATTAATCTGTTGAAGAGGGAGTGGAGGATATAAAGGGAAGGAGCAGCCAGTGACTGCACAGAGGTGAGAAGAAATGGGTTGCTATTATTACTTTTTTTCCATCCTAATCAGTGGATATTTTTTTCCATTGGTTTTTGAGAGAATTGAAGGGAGTGATGGAGTGAAAGGACACACACACACACACACACACACACACACACACACACACACACACACAGAGAGAGAGAGAGAGAGAAAGAGAGAGAGAGAGAGAGAGAGAGAGAGAGAGAGAGAGAGAGAGAGAGAGAGAGAGAGAGAACATCTATGTGTAGTGCCTCCCCATAGGCCCAGAGCAGGGTTGGGAATCAAACCTGCAACCTATTTACCTTCTTTTGAATGAGAATCAAACCTGGATCCTCCAACGTGCAGTCTAATGCTCTATCCAGTGAGAACACCAGCCAGGGCAAAGGGGCTGCTTTTTATTAACTTTCTATATTATATGTTTAAGTTCAGAGAATCTTTTATAAGTTCTAATATTCAGTTTGGATATATGTAATTGTATAAATTGTTTCTTCTGTTCTACAGAAGGATTTCACACCACTTTCACTTGCCAAAAATGAAAACAAAGAGAAAATGGTGCAATTTTTAGTAACTAGAGGCTCAAAAGTTCATCCGATGGAAAGGTACGATTGTTCATTCTTTGTTTTTTATTTGAGAGTATATTTGTTAAAGCTGGGGACAGTAAAATAAGGAAGGCCATAGGATAGAAGAAGCAGGTGTTAGTTGGAACCATTCGACGCTGTCAGAGAGGTTCAAATAATGCTGCAGGAAAAGACAAATCATTCCTTCCTCCTTTGTTACCAGTTCTGTACCCCAAGTTCACTACATCTTCTGTAGAGCATCGTTGGGCAGTTAGTGGGAGATCCCATTTCTCCTTTTGCAGAGTAGTAGGCAAAAGCCTGCCTGAGAATCCAAAATCGAGGTTGGCCCCTCAACTGATCTCTTTGCCATAACAACGAAACATTCCCAACTGAGTTGAATTTACTTCAGGTTTCAAAATATTTTAAATTATGCCTCACATGGAAGCCAGCCAACAGAAAGCTCTGATTCAAAACTAGGTTATTAAACAAAACAAAACAAAACAAAACAAAACAAAACAAAACAAAACAAAAAACTAGGTTATTGGTCCTTACCATTGCTATGGGTGCATGATCCATGACCCATCAGTATTCATGTGTGACAAGTAGGATTCTATCTTCCAAGTCAACTGGGAGTGGACAGGGAGATTAAGCATCATTCTCATAAAGATCTGCTGGTTCACAGTTTGAGGAGGTAGAGAAAGGCTAGTAGTAGTCCAGGCAAAGTCCTGACTTCTATTAGTTTTCTACAGTTCATAGGATTCAAAACAAAACTTAGGGAGCATTGTGCTATCTGACTTGATGAGGTAATATGTTTGTACACAAATTTAGTTGCAAGTTATACAGTAACTGAGATCCCCTGAATTACAAACCACAAAGAAAGGACAGGTAATAACCAAAATTAATACCATTTTCTGAAAACAGCAACATTTGAATGTTAGAATCTATAAAAAACCCCACATTACCATTTCTTTGGGATTCCAAAACAGTGTCAACAAATAGAGTTCAATAACAGATTTTTTTTTCTCCTTACTGAGCAACTCTTTTTTTGCTGTATTCTTTCATTTCAATCTCTTGGCAACCTTCTAAAGTGAGGCAGTTAGATTCTTATTTTATAGAGGAGGACCTTGAGCCACAGAAAACTGACTTGTTTGAGAACAAATAGTTGTGTTTATAGAACTAGGATGTCTGAGTTCAAGAGACTTGCCATTATGTCAAGCCAACTCTAATTAATTCACTGAACTAGATTGCCTTCAAATCATGACTCTTTTATGTTACTTTTCTTTAAAAATTACATGCTTCATAAGAAGTTTATAGAACTTACAAATTTGAAGTGTCTAGTATAATTATTGTTTTAATATTAAGTCTAATGTTATCTGGCATATGCTAAGAATTTATAATATTTGGAAAATATTTTTATATTTGTATTAAGATAGTAATATTATTTATCACAAGTTTTTATTCACAGCAACCAACAACCAACTTCTGAAAAAAAAGAAAAAAGAAGACCTTTGGAGCCTTCTAAAAGTAACAATCCTGGTAAGTCTTCTGGTAGTGAATTACTCTTGCTGCTCCTACCATAGATGGATTAAAAGTAAGGAAGTTTTAATAATGAAGGACAAAAAAACAAAAAAATGTGTAAATTGCATGTATTAGTTTTCTTAATAGAATAGTATTCAGTATTATTTTTAAGTTAATTGTAGGTAATTTTAAAGTCAGGGCAATGTTGTTTGAGAAGTTCATTTATTTAGTATTAACCCCTAAAAGTCCTATATGATTTCTATATGTAAAAATGGAAAATGATTTTAAGTTAGGATGTTGTATGTTCCTCTATATTCACATTGTAACAGATTGGACTTGTATATACAGAATGGACCTTTTGTTTAGTTTTGACAGGCAATGGATTACATTTAGTAAATGAAACCTGTTTTTCATAGTGATTTGTCTCACTCAAATAGTAGCTAAAACAATATTTTCCTGGTACCACAAACAAATGGCATACAAAAATAACTGCAAAACTTATTGTGCAAAGTCCTAATGAGATTTTAAAAATATATATTTTTATTGATTTCAGAGAGAAAGGGTGAGAAAGAGAGAGACAGAGAAACATCAATTATAAGACCTGTTGTTAATAGATAGCTCAGACAGCTGAGACACAAGGCTGTCTCGAGTCTTAAGCGCACTCAGGGCATTAAGTGTTAAGCTCTGAGTGCAGACAGTGTGCACTGTGATGGTACAATGGGCACAGGTACTGTTCCAGCAGACTGGAATTTTCTGTAATGAAACCCTATTTTGTATCAAAAGCAAAACAGACTTTAGTACAATAAATAAAGGTCAATTTATATTAAAGAGAGAGAGAGAAAGAGAGAGAGAGAGAGAGAGAGAGAGAGAGAGAGAGAGAGAGAGAGAGAGAATCATTGATTGTGTGCCCCCTGCATACCACACATTGGGGATTTAGCCCACAAAGGGGGCATGTGCCTTGAGAGCTAATGGAACCTTGACCTCCTGGTTCATAGGTCAACCCTCGACCACTGAGTCATGCTGGCTGGGTCCAATGTGGTTGTTTTTTAAAGATACCTACCAATAGCACAGAAGTCAGAAAGGCAATACCTATTCAGAATCATAGGATACTTCACATAGTATGGCAAAAGGCCTCACTATCATCAACTTGATTCCTCAGAAGTCAGAACAGAATGAGATATGTTGATTCACTAGAACAAGATGTATCCTTCTGTTTGTTGGATAATTGTCAGGACACTGTAATTTATTTAGAACAAGAAGCTCTGATCAAAAGATAATAAAAAATAAATATAAAAATAGCCCAACTCGGACTCAAAAAATTATAATAAAAATACAAAAGTGTTTCACAGTGACAAAGATGCCAGTGTGGTACTCAGATGTGGCACCTGCTTCGTTGTGCAATCTGAATCTGAACTGTCTGAGGACACCTTGGACTTAGTAGACTTACCAGAGAACTTGGATGTGTTGGTTTTGTAACTTAGAGGAAATACAAAGATGCAATATCATTTTGAACTTGAGCTCATAATATGAGAGCTGTCTCTGCTTTATTTCTGTATTTATCACATCAGAATTTTCAAAGAAAATGTCAAAATTCAGTTATTAATTTGTCTGCCTATTGATCTACTATTTAACTCTCAGGTGCCTTTTAGGTACTGAATGCTGTTCTGATATTGCAGAATTGAAATACTTTAAAAACACAGTCTCTGGCCTCCAAGAGATTGTTATTGTCATTGTCATTTCTATTAGTTACTATATTTTATTTAATGCTTGTTAGGGGTAGTACTCACTAGGAGTTTATCATTATCATTATTTATTCTTTTTTATTGTCGTGTAGCATGTGCCAGCCACTTTGATCCATAATGCTAATTGCAGTTTTTAAAATGTAGTGAAATCTTGGCTGGTACTTCAGTTGCTTAAAGTATTGTACCAATAGGCCAAGTTGTGGGTTTGATCCCTAATCCTGGTCCATAACAGAATCAACCAATGAATGCTTAAATAAGCGGATCAACAAACCAATGTTCTCTCTCTCTCTCTCTCTCTCTCTCTCTCTCTCTCTCTCTCTCTCTCTCTCTCTCTCTCTCTCTTTTTCTTTAATCAATGTTTAAAAGGTGTTAAAAAATAAAGACATGCTTGCACACCCAAGCCTTCCCCTTTTTTTCTTTCTTCACAGGGATGATTTACCTAAACTCTGAGTGACCCCAAGAAGGGTCCAGAGCAGCAACAGTCACTAGCAATTCATCCTGGGCAAACTTTCTAAACCTGACTTCTTAGTGAGCCCAGCTCATTTCCCCAGCCCTTTCTTGTTTCACTATCCCCAACTTTTATAATAAATGTCCTCCAAAATTCACCTACACACACAAATAAAATAAAGCATATAAAATAAAATAAAAAACGTGGGTGGGGTTTAATTTAAGCCTGAAGAAGGAGAAGTTGGGTAAAGGGGCAGAAGGGTGATGTGTGGCACCGGGAACATGTGTCCGAGGGCTACTATGTGCATGTTAACTTTGGGCGATAACTAAGCGAGGCAGCACACGAGCACTGCCGCTTCAATGTGCAAAATGTGTGCTATGGGAATGGTTGGGAATGAGGTGAGTGCCTAGCTAAGGCAAACTTATGAAAGTCTTTACTACCACAGAAAGGACTAGATCTTATCCTGGGGCCTTGGGAAATTTCTCAGTTAGAATGCTTTTAGCTTCAGGTAATAATGGGTGGCTAATTCACAGAGGCTGAAACTACAGGAACAAGGACTGTTTTGGTTGTTCAGTGATTTCATCAGTATCCCAGGTGCTGTCCCTTATTCAGCTGTTAGGTTGTCAGTGCTTATGTCTGCTTTCCTGGTGAGCTAATTAGTGATGGCTCCGAAGCATCCTATTCTCACATGACAATGTGTGAAGACCAAAGGACTGCATTGGTCAATTAAAAAAAATTTTTTTTAAGTCTAGTTGACACACAATATATTACTTTCAGGTATATGACATAGTGGTTTGACATTTACATACCTTATGATGTGTTCACCATGATAACTCTAGTAACCATCTATCACTGTGCCATATTATTACAATATTGACACATTCCCTTTACTGTACAATAGGTGTCTGTGGCTTGTATATCTTATAACTAGAATTTTGCACTTATTATTCATATTCTTCTAATTTCATTCATGTCCTCAACTCACTACTCTCTGGCAACTACCAGTTTGTTCTTTGCAGCTATGGGGTGCCTTTCTGTTTTGTTTGCTTTGTGGTTTTAGATTGCCTATGTAAGTGACATCATATGGTATTTGTCTTTCTCAGTCTTATTTCACTTAGCATAACCCTCCACTTGGTCCATGAATGTTGCTCTAAATATCAAGATTTCATTGTTTTTTATGTCTGAGTAATATTATATATACTGCATCTTCTTTATTAATTTATCTATAGAAGGACACATAGTTTGCTTATATATCTTGGCTATTTTAAGTAATGGTATAGCGAAGATAGGGGTGTGGATATCTTTGCCAGTTTATGTTGATGTATTTGTTGGATAAATATTCAGAAGTGGAATGGCAGTTCTATTTCCAACTTTTTAAGTAATTTCCATGCTGCTTTACATAGTAACTATACCAATTTACAATCATATGAACAGCCCATGAGGGTTTCCTTTTTTTTCATAACCTCACCACCACTTGTTATTTATTTACTAGAGTCCCGGTGCACAAAATTTGTGCATGGGGGTGGTGTCCCTCAGCCCAGCCTGCACCTTCTCCAGTCTGGGATCCCTCCCATAATCCAGAACTGCTAGCTCCCAACTGCTCACCTGCCTGCCTTCCTGATTTCCCCTAACCACTTCTGCCTGCCAATCTAATCATCCCCTAATCATTCCCCTGCCAGCCTGATTGATGTTTAACTGCTCCCCTGCCAACCTGTTTGCCCCTAACTGCCTTCCCCTGCAGGCCTGGTCATCTCTAACTGCCCTACCCTGCAGGCCTGGTCCCTCCCACTGTTCTCCCCTGCAGGCCTGGTCCCTCCCAACTGCCACCCTTGCTGGCCATCTTGTGGCAGCCATCTTGTGTCCAATGAGGGCAGTATCTTTGACCACATGGGGGAAGCCATCTTTTCTGTTGCAGTGATGGTCAATTTGCATATTACTCTTTTATTAGATAGGATAGAGGCCAGCTGGTTTGCCCTGAAAGGTGTTCTGGATCAGGGTAGGGTTCCTTTAGGGCATGGGGCAGCCTGGACAAAGGGCCTGTGGTGGTTTGCAGGCCTGGCTACACCCCCAGGAGACCCAAGTGGAGGCCCTGGTATCTGGGATTTATTTATCTTCTACAATTGAAACTTTTTAGCCTGGAGTAGAGCCAAGCCTCCTGCTCACTTTGTGGTGGCAGCCATTTCTGTTGGATTTATTTACCTTCTACAATTGAAACTTTGTAGCCTTGAGTGGAGGCCTGGGCCTGCCAGGGTATGTGGAAAGGTTGGCTTCCTCCATCGCTAGGGAAACCCAAGCCTGCCTGCTTGCTCTGTGGCAACATCCATCTTGGTTAAGGTTAATTTGCATACTTGCTCCTGATTGGCTGGTGGGCATGGCTTGTGGGTGTGGTAGAGTGATGGTTAATTTGCATATTATTCTTTTATTAGATAGGATATTTTGATGAAAGCCATTCTGAGAGGAGTGAGCTGGTACTTCATTATGGCTTTTATTTGCATTTCCTGATTAGTGATGTTGATATATGTGCTTCCTTTAGTTTTTAAAAAAAATATGTTTTTATTTATATTTAGTGAGAGAAGAGGGGAAGAGGAGAGAGGGATGTAAATAACAAGAAAACAATCACATTGCTCAGCTGCCTCCTGCCCACCCATACTGGGCATCCAGCCTGCAACTTGGGCATGTGCCCTAAATGGGAATCCTACCAGCCATTTCTTAGTACCTGGGACGACTCTCTATCTACCGAACCACAATGGTTTGACCTAAATGTTTAAATCAAAAGAAAACTGATTGCCTTGCATTTGACTTTCCTAAACCAATTAGTGCTAATCTGGTTTACTGTGATGAGTGCAGTATAATTATTTCTCTTTTTGGAGCTTGAAAGATACCACCTTCTTTGTGTAACATGACAGTAAATGTCCAAATAGAGATATTGGTTCTCCAGCAAGAATGGAGACTGAGGTAGGGAGTCAACTATATTTACTGGGGATAAATTGAAGTTTTGAGCAAAAGTGTAACAAGACTGTATTTGATTAGGGTCCTCTGGTTGTGATATGAAGTAGGTATCTGCAAGATTTATTGGTGAAGAGCATGATTTTAGGCCATGTGGTATGGCATAGATACTTAAGTCTGCCATTGTACTGTGAGAGCAGCCCTAGACCATCTTTAAGTAAATAGGCAAGACTATGCCATGTCTTTACAAAACCAGATGGCAGCTTGTATTGGCCTGTGGTTTCTTGTTTCCCGTTTGTGCCCCCCTTCCCCAATGTAAATTATAGATGAAAGGAAACCACATAAAGAGATTGGGAAACAAAGGAATATTTTGCCTTCTTGGGTTGGCATTTGTCGATTATGAAGTTTCACCTATCTATGCAGAGATGAGTCAGAAAGCTCAATTTATTCCATTTAAAATGTTGTTGTTTTTCTAGGGCTATGTCTTTCCCATTTTTCTGCTTAAAATACCTTATTAATTTAAGAGGGAACAATAATAATTGGTGGTATTTCCCGCCCCCCCCCCCCCCCCCAGAGAGCCATTTGTTAAGAGTTTGACTAGGGTTGCCGAAACCGGTTTAGCTCAATGGATAGAGCATTGGCTTGGGGACTGAAGGGACCCGGGTTCGATTCCAGTCAAGGGCATGTACCTTGGTTGCGGGCATATCCCCAGAAGGGGTTGTGCAAGAGGCAACTGATCGATGACTCTCTCTCATTGATGTTTCTAACTCTCTATCTCTCTCTCCGTTCCTCTCTGTACAAAATCAATAAAATATATATTAAAAAAATTTTTTTTTAAAAAGAGTTTGACTAGGGTAGTTGACAGTAACAAAATAAAGTTGAGAGAGAGAAGAGGTCTAGTTCATACAATTTTGTGATGAATCAATGTAAAATGTTGGTAAGGAGAGGGAAATGCAAGGTATTTGTAGGTTTCCTGGTAGTGCACTGGCATTTAGAGTGGCCATGAAGAATAGGACTTTGTGAGATGAGCAGGAAAGAGCCATAGTTCAACTGGAAAGACTATATATTTTTATACATGTTGAGTTTGGTGGAATATACCTCTACCTTCTGGATAATATTTCTTTGACTTTTTGACTTGTTCTGCCAACAATTGCCTTTAATGCATGAGCCATGCTTTCAGTTTTATAAGAAATTAAGAAAAGAATTAGGAGCAAATAAAAAGAACTCTGCGAGCATCAGAACACTATTATACTACATGTGATAATTATTGTTTTTCTGTAGTTATCCAAGTTATTTCATTGGCTCATAACTACTCTTGCAAAAAAGGAATTAAAAACCTGCTTAGTTGGAGAAAATTGTCAGCGTGAGGACAATTTTCTTGAGAGGAACTTCTATATTATAGAATATGTTATCATTTGGATTCTTTATCTTTTATTATTATTTATTTTATTAAATAAAATTGCTGCTTGTTTTGCATTATTTTCTGACATCAATGTTTTATGTGTCTCTTTCATGCCTTTATTTCAGTAGTTACTTGTCTACAGAAGTCTCTAAAACAAGCATGGAGTAGAAGAAAATCAAATAAAGGTATTCTGTGAAATCAAGTTCTGACTGTGATCATGTATCAACCCAAATTGTAACAATTTCACATAATGAAATTTTGTTAGAGGTCCCTAAACCCTTACCTAAACTTGCTTATTCACTAGAAAGATTCATAAGACTCAGCATATAATTATTCTCCTACCTGAGAATTATTATGCTGAAAGGCTAGTCTTCGCTGAAGAGCTGCAGAAGTTATATTGTGTTATGGCAAAATAAGTACACTCTCTTCTAAAATTTTCTTAGTGAAAGGTGCCCAGAAAATTCATGCTATATACATTTGACATTGTTAGTTTATATGATTCTGCTTCTACTATCCATGACATTTTCTGTCAGTCTAATGGGGTTTGTTTGGGATTATGTTCATTGTAAATATCAGATCCCATTCTTTTGTTTCTTGCATTTGATATATTTAAAAAGAGAAAGTAAGTGTTCTTAATGTATTAATGGCCTACCAATAATATGGTTAATATTTCCTCTGGTATATGGTGTGTGTTCCCAAATGAATATTTTCTAACAAAGCATTATTCAGTACTTTTAATGCTCTGTATTTTTCTGTTGTTGTTGTTTTAAAATGTACTTTGCTTTTTTCCTTAACAGTCTGTGACATATCTGAAGAAGACTCTTTATGCAGGTAGGATTTTGTGAATTTTTAAATATTATATATTACCTACAGGAATGCAGAGAAAGGAAACTAACAGTTCTAGAGTATTCTATTATGGGCTAGACTCTATATTATGTATTTAATCTGTGTTATATAATCATCACAATAGCTTTCAAAGTAGCTGTGCTATTGTATTATTTTTTTATTTTTTTAATTTATTTTATTTTTTTAAATAAGTTTTTATTGTTCATATTATTACAAATGTTCCATCCCCCACACACACACCATTGCTCTCCTCCACCAGGTTCCCACCCCACCCTCTGCCCTTTCCCCGCTCCCCATTGTCCTCATCCATAGGTGCACAGTTTATGTTCAGTCTCTTCCCACGCCCCCCTCTCCCCTTTCCCCCAAGAATCGTCAGTTCACTCCCCTTCCATACCTCTGATTCTATTATATTCAACAGTTACTATTGTTCATCAGATTTTTTTTTTAATTTCCTTGTTTTTTAGATTCACTTGTTGATAGTTACGTATTTGTTGTTCATAATTTTTATCTTTGTTTACTTTCTCTTCTGAAAGAACCCCCTTCAGCAATTCATATAATTCTGGTTTGGTGTTGATGAACTCCTTTAGCTTTTTTTTATTAGTGAAGCTCTTTATCTGACCTTGATTCTGAGTGATAGCTTTGCTGGATAGATTATCTTTTGCTGTAGGTTCTTACTATTCATCACCTTGAATATTTCTTGCCATTCCCTTCTGGCCTGCATGGTTTCTGTTGAGAAGTCAGCTGACAATCGTATAGGTGCTCCTTTATGGGTAACTACCTTATTTGCTCTTGCTTCTTTTAATATTCTCTCTTTGTCTTTTGCTCATGGAATTTTAATTATGATGTGTCTTGGTGTGGTCCTCTTTGGCTTCCTTTTGTTTGGAGTTCTGTGCGCTTCCTGGACTTGTAAGTCTAATTCTTTCCCCAGGTGGGGGAAGTTTTCTGTCACTATTTCTTTCAGTATATTTTCGATATCTTGCTCTCTCTCATCTTCTGGGACCCTCATAATTCTGATGTTGGTTCACTTGAAGTTGTCCCAGAGGTTTCTTACATTATCTTCAATTTTCTGGATTCTCTTGCCTTCTATCTTCTGTGGAGGAGTGTCTTCTGGCTCTTTATGTTCCAAATCTTTGACTTGATTCTTGCGATCTTCCCTTCTGTTTTTAGGACTCTGTAAAATATTTTTTATTTCAGACAATGTATTCTTTATTTCTTGTTGATCCCTTATCATTTCTTGATGACTCCTTATTAATTCTAGTTAATCTCTTTTCATATCCTCATAGGTCTTATCCATCTTTTCTAGGAAATTCTTGAAAAACCTTATAAGCGTAGATTTGAACTCTATATCCAGACGCTTTTTGTCCTCCATTTCTTTCCTTTGTGATCTATTTTGTTGTTGCATTTCGCAGCTACAGATGGGGTGGGGTTTCAGGGTGGAGCCTGCAGCTTTGGCTTCTGTCAGCCCCACCCTATGCGGGTCCTTCAGTGCTCGCTGCCCGCGCCTCTGAGAGAAAGGTGCCCTTGATTTTCGCCTGATGCCAAACAGTCTAGTCTCTCCCCCAATGGGCCCGGTATTGGGGTTCAGTTCAGTTGGAAGTGGAGTTGGAGGTGGCGTTCAGAGCAGACTAGCGCCCCTGTCTCCTTCCTGCCAGGCAATCCCGCGGCACAGCCGGCCATCCCTTCTCTGCACGCAGCTGCCGGGACCTCCTTTCGCCGCTTCCCTGGGTTCCGCCTTACAGCCCAGCTCCCTATGGATGAGCCTGGGTCCCCGGGGTCTGGCCTAGAGCTGGGGTTCAGAGCAGTCGGGGGCCCAGCACAGTCGGAGTTTTATCTTCTTCCCGCTAGGGAACGCCCGCCAGGCACTCGGCCGCCCTCCTCTCCGGCTCCGTCCTCTCCAGGCCGTGCGTCTCCGTACCTTGGGCTTTTCCAGCTCCTCTGCGCTTCCTTCTGGTTTTCTCCTTGCTTCTCGTTGTAGAATTTCCAGTCAGTCAACTTTCCTGTAGTTCTGGGTAATGTCCGTTTTATATTTTAGTTGTATTTTATTGAAATTGTTGTGTGAGGCTGCAGCTAGGTATTCACCTGGACGCAGCCATCTTGGATCCTCCCTAAGATTGTGCTATTGTATTAATTAGGCAACTTTTTTTTTATTAATGAGGCAACTATGGGTCAGGGAGGTGGATTAATTTTTTATCTGTATGTAGAGAATATCTATGTATAGACCATGTTATCTTAATTAAATTTAGCATATATTTAGAGGATAGCTCTAATTGATTTCTCCATTTATTGTCTTCCCAGTCTGGTTTTCTTTTCAGGCTAGTATCTTGGTCTAGTTGTATGAATTTTTTTTCTTTGTTGCCATACTACCCCCCCCCCCTTCCATGACTTCTTGACTTTTAACATTTTTGTTCTCTTTTTAACACGTTTTTTGGTGTTTCGTTCATTGTGTTATTTTCCCCTCCAATTCTGCCAGCTATGATGATCTCCATTTCTTTCTAGACAGAATCAAAGGCACATAGAATTTCAGAAGTTTAAGGAAGCATAGAAAATAATTAAACAAAATTCCCTCTAGCTCTTCAACCAGTGTTTAATGTCCTGGCCAAGTGGTTGCTTACATGGAGTATTAGAAACTTAAACATATTAAAATGACTTTTAGGGTATAGTAAATGGTGGAACTGACTTGTAAATTCAAGTTGCTGAGTATAATACTCTTCCTTCTTTATCACTCTGTAGGTGAGATTTCATAATAGAAATATGGGTAGTGGGTAGTGAATGCAGTCATTAAAAGATAAGAATAGATTTAGAAGGGAAATTCCAAGTTTCAAGAGGAACAACACTGGGTTGAGATTGGAATAAGAGTTTAATAAAGACATGAAGATATTGGGGTCTAAGACAAGATAAAGATACATTTTAAGAAAGAAGGCCACAGGATTTGACAGATTAAGAAATATGGGGCTCAAAAATGTCCTGAAGAGGTTGCTATTATCCTGTATATTTGTTTAATTGGAGGAACTAGCAACATTCAAAGTTTCTTTTAAAAGATATTTAAAAAATTGGAGGCACTGGAAAGATTCTTTTGATCACAAATGTGACTGTGGTCTCATCAACCTGAACTCTGACTCACAGAGTGGGGTTTAAGTTCCCTTGAGTCCTAGGGGACTGGAGATTGCTGAACTACATAGCGCTATGGCTCAAGGCAGGTGTATTCTACCATCTACTTGTTTTCTCAATTAGCTGTTGTGCTTCCCATGTACACAGAAGGTTGGGCAGAGGCAGGACTAGATGTCAAGTCAACCTATGTTATGAGTTGATAACTCAGACTCCATTTGGTTGGTTTTCCAGGAGCAAGGGAAATAGGGAGCTCCTATTCTTGGTCATTTGAGCCCATCCTTGTTTCAGGAGTCTGTGCCTTCATAGGCTGAAGATTTAAATGTTGGAAACTGGCATGAAGCCTCCAAAAGTCTGATCTGGGAGTGGGAAGGCTAACAGCATATACATTTGTTCTTTGACATTTGGACAGTTAACTTTCCACCATTTCAGAGAACTTCCTGTATGGTTTGAGGGTAAAAGGAAGGATTGGGAACTCCTTAATAAGTGGTTTCTATGCTAAAGAAGCAAAAATGCATTTTTGACTGACATCCATTAGTTTTTGAACCAGGGACAACGATGAGGAAAGGGACAATAGGTCATCAGATGAGTTCCAGTTCAGGGAATAAAAGTTATGTTAGTCAGTAGTGTTGCAAACAAATTAATCCTAGGCATAGTGTGTCTTCAATAAATAGATTAGAAGAGGTAGCAGCAGAAATAAAAAAAAACTAAAAGCTTTTTTAAAACATAGGTCCAGTGTTAATTATATCAAGAATAATTATTTGAAACAGAAAGCTGATCTTTCACTTAAAATTTTGTTGTTTTATTTTTAAAAAAATAAATGGATTTTTTTAAAGAAATGTTTTACATTTTATAGCAAACGTCAAATTGCTGTTTCATGTCCTACATCAGACAATGCAGTCTTGAAGGTAAAGTGCTCTTTTCTGAAATTAGTTTTCTTGTTCTCAATTGAATTGTGTGTGTGTGTGTGTGTATAACACTCTTAAAATATTATAGTAAACTACTTATCATTGTTTTATGTTTGTAATGCAAAATAAGTCTTTTTATAGTTAAATCCTAAAGTGAGGAAGTGGTTTGATTTTCATTTCATTGATTTTAGAAAGAGTGGAACAGGCAGGGAGAGAGAGAGAGAGGAAGAGAAACATTGCTGTGAGAAAGAAACATTGTGGGCTGCCTCCTGCATGGGCTACAACAGAGATGGAACTAATAAATTGGAAACATGTCCTGACTGGGAATTGAACCTGTGATCCTTCGGTGCATGAGTCTATGCTCCAACCACTTTGCCCCACAGGCCACAGTGCAAAATGTATTTATTTTATTGCATGATTCATTTTATATGCAATTTCCCCAATAAGTGAGTCCATAGAGACAGAAATCAGACAAGTGTTTTCCAGAGACTGGGTAGTGAGAATGGAGAGTTCTTATTTCATGAAAATGAGGCTCCCTTCTGGAGTGATGAAAGATTTTGGAAATAGATATGGGTGATCATTGCATAACATGATACATGTGCCAAAAGCTTCTGAAATCTATACTGTAAAATCATTGATGTTTAAGTTTAATCTCTAAGAAAAGAATACTGTCATAATCAATCAATTGAATTAAGATCATATTACACACATTTTATTTTTATTTTTTTATTATTTTTAAAAATATACTTTATTGATTTTTTACAGAGAGGAAGGGAGAGAGATAAAGAGCTAGAAACATCGATGAGAGAGAAACATCAAACAGCTGCCTCTTGCACACCCCCTACTGGGGATGTGCCCTCAACCAAGGTGCATGCCCTTGACTGGAATCAAACCCGGGACCTTTCAGTCCACAGACCGATGCTCTACCACTGAGCTAACCCGGTTCTGGCTATGTTACACACCTTTTAAAAC